ATCCCCCTACTCTGGCTTGTGCTTTCTATCAAGCTCGATTGGAAGAATCTGCTATTGAGGCTCGCAAAAGGAAGTTTCGTTCTGTTCCTTCCAATCGTGGTGTTGTTTCTGTTCCAGTTTCATCTAGCAAGTCTTTTGAAAATGAGTCCCCGCTGCCTTCGCATTCTTCTCAGGATCGCAGTTTTGTTCCTCTCGGGAAAGGGATTTGCTACAAGTGTGGGGATAAGTTTTTCCACGGCCATGTTTGTTCCAAGAAGAAACACTTACAGATGATGAAGGCAGATGCTTCTTCCTCCCACAGTGACGATGATGAAGGGGAGGACGAGTTTCAGGATGCGGAATTAGAGGTCTCTTTGCAGTCTATGGGTACGGGTTTCTCTGGGAATTCTTTGTTGATTCCAGCAACTTCAGGGAGACGCGAGGTCACAGTTCTCATTGATGCAAGTAGTTCCCATACCTTTCTTAACTCCATTAAGGCAGAAGAGTTGAATTGTAGAACAGAGAATGATGCTCCCATGAGAGTCAAGGTAGCTAGTGGCCATACCTTATTGAGTAATTCTGTCTGTCGTGGGTTTAGCTGGAAGATGTATGTCCAAGAGTTTGATTTTGATGTTCGTATTCTCGAGTTACCAGCTCATGATTTGGTGTTGGAATGGGATTGGTTAGAAACTGTGAGTCCATTTCAGGTTGATTTGAAGAAGCGCCAACTCTCTTTTGATTGGAAGGGGAGACTTATAACCCTTCAAGGTCTCACAAAAGGAGGGTCAATGTAAAATGATGAATGGTCGTTCCTTCTAGCAATTGGTTAAGAAGCAAGTTCCTCATCTCACAGGGGTTGTCTATTCCATTACTATTGAGCCTGTGTCCACTGTGTCTCCAACCCCTGCCTTCCTTAAGCCACTTCTTTCCCAATTTCAGGATGTTTTTGCTACTCCTACTGCCTTACCTCCATCCAGAGCATTTGATCACTCTATTCCACTTCTGCCTGACACCAAGCCCATAAACATTCGTCCTTACCGCTTCCCACATCACCAGAAGGCAGTGGCTAAGACATTAGTAGCTGATATGTTGAAGTCAGAGTTTATATAGGAGAGTCATAACCCGTATGCCTCACCCATTCTCCTCATTGGCAAGAAAGACGGTACTTGGCGATTCTGTGTTGATTATAGAGAGTTGAATGCTGCCACTATCAAGGATAAGTTTCCTATTCCTCATATTGAAGACCTCCTCGACGAATTACATGCGGTTGTCATCTTCTCCAAGTTGGATTTAAGGGCTGGATACAATCAAATTAGAACGAATCCTGCTGATCAGTTTAAAACAGCTTTCAGGACTCATCAAGGTCACTATGAGTTTCGGGTTATGCCCTTTGGCTTGACTAACGCACTTGCTACCTTTCAAGCATTGATGAATAATGTCTTTGGACAGCATTTGAGGAAGTTTATATTGGTTTTTTGGACGATATTCTTGTGTACAACAGGTCGGCAGCATACCATTTACATCATCTAGCCTTGGCTTTACAGTTATTGAGGGAGAACAAGTTGTATGCCAAGGAATCTAAGTGTTCTTTTGGGCAACCTACAGTGGAATATCTCGACCATATCATCAGTAAAGAGGGAGTTTCCCCTGATCATAGTAAGGTGGCTGCTATGGTGAGTTGGACAAGACCCACAACAGTTAAAGCATTGAGGGGTTTCTTGGGCTTAACGGGTTATTATAGGAAGTTTGTGCACAATTATGGTCTCATTAGCAGGCCCTTGACTCATTTGTTAACAAAGAATGGGTTCCACTGGAATTCGGAGGCTGAGAATACTTTTGTGACACTGAAAATAGCCATGTCTCAAGCCCATGTTCTCGCTTTACCAGATTTTACCAAACCTTTTATATTAGAGACGGATGCTTGTGGAATTGGGGTAGGAGCTGTTTTGACTCAGGGAGGGCGTCCCTTGGCGTATTACAGCAAGGCTTTGGGCCTGAAAAATTAGGGTCTCAGCACCTATGAAAAAGAATACTTGGCGGTATTAATGGCGGTTGATCATTGGAGGCACTACCTTGAAGGGCGCCAATTTACTATTGTAACAGACCATGAAAGTCTGAAATTTCTGCTGGGGCAGAAGGTACATACTGCATTTCAAAAAAAGGGACTAGTAAAGCTCTTGGGACTTGATTTTCATATTAAATACAGGAAAGGGAAGTACAACGGGGCTGCAGATGCGTTATCTCGAGTCTTTGATAAAGAATCTTTGTTGGGCAGCTATAATGCCTTGTTGTCTGTATTACCGGAATGGCTGGTGGAAATAGAGCAATCCTGCGCGAATGATTCTGAAGTGATGGACTTAATAGTAGCTGCTGCGGTTAATGCTCAAGGACCCTCTCTCTGGTCTTACTCAGCCGGAATTCTCGGGTATAAGGGGGTGATCATGGTTGGCTCTTCTGGTTTTCTTCGCACCAAACTACTGCAGTTGTTCCATTCTTCCCCTGTTGGTGGCCATTCGGGAGCTCAAGGTACTTACCAACGCCTCAAAAGTCACTTCTATTGGAGAGGGATGAAGGCGTCAGTCAACAAATGGGTGTCAGAATGTGAGGTTTGTCAGCGATGCAAGGCTGAAACGGTTGCTTCTCCTGGACTTCTACAACCACTTCCCATTCCTACTCGAGCTTGGACGGATGTTAGCATGGATTTCGTATAAGGGTTGCCTAACTCGCAGGGGAAACAAGTTATACTAGTAATGGTGGACAAGTTCACAAAATCTGCTCATTTCTTTGGCCTCAAATACCCCTACACTGCTGCCGAGATTGCCCAAGTGTTCTTTGATGGTGTCTTTAAAAATCATGGCATGCCTTCAACAATTGTTTGTGACCGAGACTCTACTTTTACCAGCAGCTTCTGGACTGAGTTTTTCAGGTTGCAGTAGACGGATATTCACTACTCAACTGCTTATCATCCACAGACATATGGACAAACAGAGAGGGTGAATCGATGTCTCGAAGACTATCTTCGTTGTATGACGTTTCATCGTCCCCGTGACTGGGCTAGCTGGCTTACGTTGGCCGAGTGGTGTTACAATACTCATTTCCACCTCAGCTTGCATATGTCGCCATTCGAAGCCTTGTATGGATTTCCTCCTGCCTTCTTTGGTTTAACTCCGACTGCCACAACATTGGTGGGTGCGGTGGAGGACAGGGTGAAGCTCCAGCATCAGTTGGTTCAGTTCCTGACTTCCAACATCACTACAGCTCAAAATAGACAGAAGCAATATGTGGATCGCCAGCATTTTGAACGTGTTTTACAGGTTAACGACTGGGCTTACCTTCGCCTCCAACCATATAGACAAGGTTCAGTGGTGGGGCGACAAGGAAACAAGCTTGGAGCACGTTACTATGGCCCTTATCAGGTGCTTGCTAAGGTGGGGAGTGTGGCATATAAGCTGACCTTGCCTGCAAAGTGCAAACTCCAAGGTTCACCCTGTTTTTCACGTTTCCCAGCTGAAGCTCAACAGATCGACCGTTCCCCCTACTGCCCTGCAATTGCCTGATTTTGACGCAAATGGTACACTGAAACTTGCTCCTGCTCACATCTTGTCCATACGCTTTGTCAATCAAAATAACAGGGCAGTCACTCAAGTTCTTGTGCAATGGTCACACCAAGCTCCTGAAGATGCTACTTGGGAAGATCTGCTGTCATTCAAGGCTCAGTTTCCTTCTTTTTTGGTTTGATGTACAGCTTGAGGACAAGCTGTGTTTGAAGGGAGAGGATTTGTAACAAACCTAGCCAGGCTGGCATGAGTGACGTGTAAAGTACACCCATGTATAAATAGAGAGAGCTAAATGGTAACTGATCAGCTTTTACCCAATCAATCTTCGTGTAACTACTTTACCAATAGCTAGCAATAAATCAAGAACTCTCCTTCCCCTATATTCTCTTCTTCTCCATTTCTATCAACTTGCCAGATTCCCAGAAACGATCTTTACAGAAAGCTGCATCGACAATCCAAAAGAAAAAAAAAAGCAAATCTAGAAACAAATTATAACTTGGGTTTTCATTTCTAGAAATCATCATTGTCGTTCTCAAGCGGAGATATAAATTATGAGCGATATTAGTGGGAAGAAGATGGTTGGAGCTGTAATATCGAGGGACGAAGACAGTCGACAAGTTCCTATTTGCTTAGCGTCATCAATGAACTCTTACAATGGTGGCAATGCCGATTGAGAGCTTGTGTTCCTTGGACCTTGGCGTTGGAAAGATGAATGAGGAAGTTGGGAAAAGGAAACGAAGGGATGTGGAAGGCGTAATTTGTGGTGGTAGGAAGGTAGGGGAGGCAGAGGAACGCAAGGAGGGAAAAGGGGATAGGTTTCTCTATTTTTTTATGGAGATTGGAGAAGATGAAAGAAGGAATTAAATTGGTAACCGGGAGTTAACCGATAATTGAGTATCCGGCTAACCGGTTTCCTTCAGGCACCGGTAATCGACAACAATATAGAACTAAATGGTATACTGATAACCTGCTAACCGGTTACCAATTAACCCGATAACCAACTGTTTACCACCCCTAGCCACTTTATCCCTCCCTTCAAACCCACCTTTCTCCGCCTGAGTAGTCCCACGTTATGTGGCAACATGTAGACCACGTGAGTATGTGCTCAAAAAAATCCTTAGCACCATAGCATTATTGGATAAAAACCGGTCGGTTTACCTTTGACAATGGTGGCGGTGATGGAAAATAGAGGCAGACGGGGTTAGCCAGCTCACAGCTTCTTCTCTATTCTAGGACGGCGGAATTGGCAAAGCTTATTTTGAAAACACGTTCCCAAATGTAACAAGTTAATGAGCCCCAACAAGTGAAGAACCCTTTTCCACCAATGTACAATTGTCATCCAACACTTTCACATGAAGAAGTTGTAAGTTTATGGTTAGAACTTAGGAGTCGTTTGGATAATATGAGTTTAAATCTACAGATTGTCAATAATCTAAAGATTCTAACTCTCCATATTGTTGAAAACAGATTTTAAAATGTTTATTGTTTGGTAACTGTGATTGTTAACATTCAATTAAAATAAAAATTTAATTTTATATTAAATAAAATTTCTATCCTTAATAACAAAATTAGAGTGGTTCAAAAAATATTAAAAACTTTGTTGATAGATATATTTCACGTTATAAATAAATAGAAGTAAGAGAAAAACTAGGAGGAAAAAAATTCACGAATCAAGATATAGAATGAGAGATTTGATATCCGCAGATTTTAGAGATTTGAAATCTCTAAAGCTAGAATCCATAATACAGAAAGAAACAAAAAAACATAACTTTCTATAAAATCTACGGATTCAGTGAATCCATGTCCTGAATCCTGTTCTCCAAACGACCCCTTAGAAGGCCAAACAGATGAATTGACTATAATGGAGCTGTCAGCTGTGTACTGCCACGGAGAAAAATGCAAGAACCTAATTACACATTCCATGTATACAAAATCTGTCTTGAGAATTTGGCGTATCATAAATGGAAAGAAAAAGAAAAAATGCAGACTAGTCACGTCCTTAGAGATGCTGCCATGACTGGGTCGATTGAACATATATAGCCCTATCGAAAGGAAGAATCTGCTCTGATGATATCACCCGCTCTGCAGTAGCCTCTCTCCATGCCTGCAATTTGTTGAGTTCAACATCCAATAAGCACTTACAGACTGTCAGACTCCAAACTTGAGCACAAAGAGAAATCCAGAAATAGAACAACAGATTGTTGATGCAAGTAACCACCCTTCTGCTGAACACAGAATGTGGCGGCTCTCATGTTGAACCAAGTTATCACAAGTTAAACCCACAAACAGGAAAGAACATCCATACAACAGTGAAATGGAAAAGTAGGCAGAGTTGTTACGTCTCAATGAAGTTGAGACCAACAACCTTGTTTCTATCAAACACTGACATCGTCACTGAAATAGGTCATATCTAGGATTACCTAAAAGAAAAGCAAGAATTCAACTACGTTTGGGCAAGAATCGAATTCGAATTCTCTCTACGCAGGATCCTCCCACCAGGAGTCCAGGACCATGGACAGCCCATCCCCATGTCTCCCTCTTCCCCTCCCGCTCTCCCTCTTTATGATAGCAAAAGGCTCGATCAACCATCTAGACTAAGCACACCTGAATTTCCAATCGGCAAATCAAAGCACTAGTTCCATCTCCCTAAAGACGACCAAGCACTAGAATGTTTAGGATGGTAAGGCTTACCATCATTCTGATCAGTCATGATTGTTCACCAGGTCGCTGGGAACCAGTTCCGCTTCCAAGAACCGACGCAGATGCCTATCGTCCAAATGCTTCTGTTTCAACAAAAACAATGCGCCATTAACGGCTGGCATAAAATGGTAAACGAAAACCAAGTCGCCAATTACAAAACGGGAATATCAGGGAAGAGGAAGAGAGGTTACCGAGAGGCAATCTCTGTAGCTTTCCCACTCAGAGAGGCATTCAATTTTGTCCCACTGACCCTTTACGAACTTCTCCGAGTACCACCTGCCCCCAACAAAGATAAGCGAAAAAAACCCATTTCAGCTGGGGCAAACAAATTAATGGAGTTAGGGTTTTAGATGGAGAGAGTTGCAGGTATGTTACTTGTTGAAGCAAATGTGATAAGCAGCTCTGAGATCAGCGCAAGGCGACGTTGAGGCAAGAATTGGAGATTTCTTGTCTTTGCTCAAAAAACCCATCACTTCTCGTTCGCTCCCCGGCGCAATCTCTATCTTCCGCCGCTTAACTCGCAGGAAGCATCGAGAAGAGGGGGAGGAAGAAGAGAATTATGCTAATTTGTTTCGGCGTTCCTTTCCTCTCTCACCCCGTTTCTTTTCGCTGTTTTACCCGTTTTTTGTTCGATGAATTGATGACTCCCGTTTCGTTTTTTTATTTACTCGTGTTTCCTTTTCTTTTTCCGAGTAATTTTAATCTCACCGCCAAACCCAAAAGGCCAAAACAGATCGTTTGGACAATTTTCCGGTCTCCCAGTTACTCCCCCCTCCGTCGACTCTCTCACAATTGCCGATCCCGCGAAAACCTTACAAATGGCTCCGATTCCGTCGGAGAACGGCGTAGATGGCGACGACGAGCGAGAGGAAGAGGAGGATGACGAGGAAGAGGAAGAAGAAGAGGAAGACGAGGAAGAGGTGGAGCCGAAGCTCAAGTACCAGAGGATGGGCGGCAGCATACCGTCTCTGCTTTCCAACGATGCGGCGTCCTGTATTTCGGTGGCTGAGCGAATGATCGCGCTCGGGACGCTAGACGGTACTGTCCACATACTTGATTTTCTCGGGAATCAGGTGAGTTTCGGCCCTTAATTTGCTGCTAATTGGATCTCAATTTCCATATAAGCTCTTGAAGTTTGCTCCGATTGGAGGTCTTTTCTTCCTCCGATGACTGATTGATTGTAAGAGCTTCTCTATATGACGTGACATTCGGCCACCAGTTATGGCAACTTCATCTCCTTTTTGAGTTGGAATCAGCTCCTTGAGTTGTTGCGACGTCTGTTTTCACTATTAAAACTGAATGTTGGATGAAGTTGGGATCCAGAATTTGAATGAGGTGGACTTGTGATTAGTAATACTATGACCTCCAAGAATGTAGGAGTCATGTTGAGGAATTATATAGCCCTCCTGATCGGTGTGCGTGAAAAGCATTTTAATGGACCTCTGAAAGGTTCATGGGTTGAAAACTTGATGTGTCTTTGAAAGTGAGACCTCTGAAAGTTTCTATTTTTTTCCCATTTTGTTCTTTGTTTTCCAGGTTAAGGAATTTCCAACTCATACTGGTGCAGTCAACGATCTTAGCTTTGATGTGGACGGTGAATATATTGGAAGCTGTTCAGATGATGGCACGGTTGTAATAAATAGCCTCTTCACTGATGAGAAAATGAAGTTTGAGTATCATCGTCCAATGAAGGCCATCTCTCTGGATCCAGAATATTCAAGAAAAACTTCAAGGAGATTTGTTGCTGGTGGCCTTGCGGGTCAGCTGTATCTAAACTCGAAGAAATGGTTGGGCTATCGGGATCAGGTCTGGATATTAACAACATCCACTTCTTTTCAGCAGAACTTTGGTTGCTACAACTTATTGCTGAAAATGATATGTGGTTAGAATTAACATTCTGTTTCTGTTTTTAGGTCTTGCACTCTGGGGAAGGTCCAATACATGCTGTCAAGTGGAGAACAAATCTCATTGCTTGGGCTAATGATACAGGTGTGAAAGTTTATGATGCTGCCAACGATCAGCGCATAACATTTATTGAAAGGCCACGAGGCAGTCCTCGCCCAGAGCTTTTGCTTCCTCACCTTGTTTGGCAGGTTAGTGTAGGTATCTGTAGCTTGAAGGTCCAAACTGCTTTTGTCCATCATTAGTATGCTTAACTCAGGTAGTTCTGTTTTATAATTTAATGATTTCTCAACGTTTACATTCTTTTGAGATTGTGCCATTTGTATGCTTTCCAAATGACAGAGTGACACATTGTTGGTTATTGGTTGGGGAACATCTGTGAAAATTGCATCAATAATAACAAATCAACCCAATGGATCCAATGGGACATTTACGTCAAGCAGGAACCAAGTGGACATTGTGGCGTCTTTTCAGACTAGCTATTACATTTCAGGCATTGCTCCATTTGGTGATTCTTTGGTCGTTCTAGCTTATATTCATGGAGAAGATGAAGGAGAGAAAGAATTCAGCAGCACGATCCCATCAAGACAGGTAATTTCTCTATGATGACAAGATCTGCTATATATTTTAAGTCTGACTGTGCTTGTGAAATGAGTTGTTCATGTAAGGTTGTTTGTCATGCGGCTTGACTTCAAACTTAGTCAGAAGCTTCTGACTGCATTCATTCTGATTGATTGTTAGCTTAGGGATAAATTCTAACTCCCTCTAGAAGTATTAGGCAGACCGCAGATGGATGTTTCTAATATGCGGATTTCAAATAACTTCAGTATTTTCTAATGAATTTCCATCCATCAATTTTAATCTGTAGCAGGTTAATGCACAGAGGCCTGAGGTTCGTGTCGTCACTTGGAATAATGATGAACTTTCTACAGATGCCCTGCCAGTCCATGGCTTTGAGCATTACACAGCCAAGGACTATTCACTTGCTCATGCTCCTTTCTCAGGTGAGATCCCATCCATGAAAGTGGGGGTCTTTGAAATCATGCAATCTGCGAAGAGTTAACATTGTTGCCTTTCCATGTGAATGCAGGAAGCAGTTATGGTGGAGGTCAGTGGGCTGCTGGTGATGAACCAATGTACTACATTGTTTCGCGTAAGGACGTCGTAATAGCAAAACCGAGGTTTGTATCTTCCACTGCCTGATCCTTGCTTTATGATGGTATTACTTATTTCCCCCGCCGTTTGCAGTTCTCATATAATCATACTAGAACTCGTAATCTGCATCAAGAAACAAATTGTGACATTGCTTATCAAGTAGTATGCTTTCTATATGTTCATTAACCACACCTAACGGTCGATAGATTTTGGAGAACAGTTTAAGGTTGAGGGACTCATTCCTTTTCTCGTAGTCTCATTGTTAGTGTCCTCTTTATTTTGAGTGAATAAAAACTAAATAAAGTGCTGATCATTAGGGATGCTGAAGATCATATTTCATGGCTTTTACAACATGGATATCATGAAAAAGCTTTAGCAGCAGTTGAAGAAGGGCAGGGTTGCGGTGAACTACTTAACGAGGTACCTTCCTTTCTTATGCATGTAGATTGCCCTCTCTACACAGCACCTAGACATGGAATTTGATGCCATATAGATTGGGTGTCCCATATTTTCTGGCAGTACAGAGAACTACTTGAGACTGGACTTTATGATCCATTAGTAGCTTTCGGATCTTGCTCTCCCCCACCTCCCAAAGCCCTTCTTCTCCTTTGCATTTGTTTCATGCTTGCCCTCTCCATTACAGTAAAGTTCTTTGGTAGCCATTGATCTGGAGCATGCTGCTGTGTTGCAGAAACTCTGTTGTGGAATACTACTGTTTTATGTGCTGTAGAAACTCTTTGGTAGCCATTTATCTGGAGCACGCTAAATTGTGGCAGAAAATCTGTTGTTGGATACTACTGTTTTATGTGCTGCAGATCCATGCTAAATTGATCTGTATTCAATTTCTTTAACTACTTTTGGTCAACCACCTCGGTATACCAGTATTTCCTGTTGTACATCCATGCTAAAATTTAAGTCTTTCTTTGTCAGAGGACAATATTATGTAGTTAGATTTGTCTATGCCCTCTTTTGTGCATATTAACGTTATTTTGGTGAGCAGGTGGGAGCTAGATATCTTGACCATTTAATTGTGGAGAGGAAGTATGCCGAGGCTGCATCTCTGTGTCCCAAACTTTTGCAGGGGTCTGCTTCTGCATGGGAGAGGTAAGAACAGCACCCAATATTTGTCTGCTCTCGTAGTCTCTCTCAATGGCTTACATGGCTGGTTTGTCGCAGATGGATTTTCCATTTTGCTCAACTTCGTCAGCTCCCTGTATTGGTTCCATATATACCAACAGAAAATCCTAGACTACGTGACACTGCCTATGAGGTTTGTAGCATCATTTTCAAGTGTTGTGCCTTTTGCATGTGATGTTCAAGGTGTTTATCCTCTACTGTCCAACAGGTTGCTCTTGTAGCGCTAGCTACAAATTCATCATTCCACAAGGATCTGTTGTCAACTGTTAAATCATGGCCATCTAAGGTTTACTCTGCAACGACAGTTATAGCAGCTATAGAACCTCAAATGAATGCATCCTCCATGAGTGATGCACTCAAAGAGGTTGGTTGCCATGATCTTTTATTCTCTGCTCAGACAATGACTGCTATATATCTTTTATCGAAGCTCTTTTTTGTGTGTTTGTGTGTTAGGCTCTAGCTGAGTTGTATGTTCTTGATGGGCAATACGAGAAGGCTTTTTCGCACTATGCTGATGTAAGTTCTTTGGTTTCTGTTTGAATATCAGTAACAATTTTACTCCCGAAAAGAACTTTGTTTGATGAATTTGACATAAACATTGCTTTTATCTGTTATTTTTTCTTCTTGTTGTCAGTTGATGAAGCCAAATATATTCGATTTCATTGAGAAGCACAACTTGCAAGATATCATCCGTGAAAAGGTTTGTTAAATACCAAATATGATTCTATGCATATATCTAGACTAGTAGTGCGCTTTGTGGCGAACCCCTGGAACACCACTAAAATTTGGGGAAAATTATTGAAGCCCTCTAGTAGTTTGAATTTGGGAAAAAGGAAATAAATGTGATAATTTATGTTGTTCAAATATGTGACACTACCGTTATTGGTGAACCTAAAATTTTGGGAAAGATCATTGAAGCCCTCTAGTAGTTTGAATTTGGGAAAAAGAGAAAAAATGTGATAATTTATGCTGTTCAAATATTTGACACTACAGTTATTGGTGAACATGTTTTCAATTAGACTACAATTAATTTATTTTTATATTTCTAAAATAAATATAATTATAATATAAAATTAAATTAAAAATTAAAGTCCAATTCTACTCCAATTTTTCTTCCAAAACCTAAAAACTAAATTCTAACCAAGCAATCCTCACCCTTGTGAAATTTGACGAAGGCAAGTAAAAAAATGAGAGTAGTCTCTTCTTATTTCCCTTTTCTTCAATCGTTCGTATTGAAAGATTTTTTCAGCTTTGGGTTATATAAGAACAATTTTCATAATCTAATAGGTGATTAGTTCATAAAGGATTGTCTAGTAGGATATATTGACCAAGATTTATTGAGCACTGTAGATACTAAATGTATATTATATTTTTTTTAGAATATGAAAACATGCCGTGGTATTTTGTTGTAATTTATAAATAGTTGGATATTATTTTTTTATTGAGCTTTAATTATTATTTTAATTTAGTTTTGAAAGATGACACTCCATATATAAATTCCTGGATCTGCCACTGAGCACACTACTTCATTAAGTTTTATTACCATATGAACATATATTATACCTTTTGCAATCTCTGGTATTCAAAAACACGTATGCTTTTTCCATTTTAGCTTTAGATCTTCTCAAATTGACAATGTTTATTTATGTCTTGTCATGTTTGTTAACATGGTCCCTTGATTTCTTGTTGATGTGCTTATGTAGATATCATTTTACAGGTCGTCCAGTTAATGATGCTTGATTGCAAGCGTGCAGTTTCTCTGTTGATGCAAAACAGGGAACTAATTTCTCCAAATGACGTTGTCTCACAACTATTGGCTTCAAAAACTCAGTGTGATTCGAGATATTTCTTGCATTTGTATCTACATTCTCTCTTCGAAGCTAATCCACATGCTGGGAAAGAATATCATGATATGCAGGTGAGAGATGGTGGTTTGCTGATGCAGTATAATACTAAAATCATCTATAATTTTCATTGCTGAAAACTACTGTTGAGATAGATAGCATTATCAGACGGAACATTACCCTGCATCATAGTTGAGGCGTTTTCTTGCTTGAATGCTGTTCGCTGTTAATTGGACGTGGCAGGGCATCGAGAGAGAAGTAGCTTCTGATTCAGTTGCTTCTTTCTGTTACCTGTTGTTAAGACATATTTTCAGCTGCTCAAATACTCTGTATACATCCATAGACTCAAATGACAAACACCTACTTGAGATAAACAGGTTTTTTCTTAACAATGTTTATTTGAGATAAGTTGGGCACTTGCTACTTAACTTTGATTTGACTTGTTATATACGTGCTCATAGCTTCGCCTGGTCATTAGAGTGTTACTGATGGGTAGCCTTGTTTAGTCATCTAATACAATCCCTTACTATTTTGTTGACAGGTAGAGCTTTATGCGGATTATGATCCCAAAATGTTACTCCCTTTTCTGCGCAGCAGCCAACATTACAAACTTGAGAAGGTTTGAGCTGTTTATAATTATTGCTTGTGATCTTTCATTGAGAAATAGCTGGGTGTTACCGAGTCATTAATTAAGCTTAAATGCAGGCATTTGATATTTGTGTCAAAAGAGACCTTTTAAGGGAGCAGGTTTTCATCCTTGGACGAATGGGAAATGCCAAAAAGGCCTTAGCTGTCATCATAAACAAATTGGGGGATATAGAAGAGGTATGTTTTATGTTGTCCCAAAAATTCTTGATTTGTTCTGATGATTCTGTTGTTTGGTATGTTTGGTAATTGCTCAAAGAAACAATGGTGCTCAATGGGTGCAGGCTGTGGAATTTGTTACCATGCAGCACGATGATGATCTTTGGGAAGAATTGATTAAGCAGTGTATTAATAAGCCTGAAATGGTACGTCTTCCAGCTGCTTATTGCACACTGCTATTACAATTTACAAGCACTTGGGTTCTGGGTCTTTTTTCTTAACAATGTGTGCTGCCTGGTAGGTTGGAGTTTTGTTGGAGCACACAGTCGGGAATCTAGACCCTTTGTATATTGTAAATATTGTACCCAATGGCTTGGAGATTCCACGGTTAGCATATCTTGTGTTTCTTCTTTTGATCATTCGATTTTTGTCTCCGTAGTCGCCCCTAAACTCCCTGCTTTGTTGATCTCAGACTGAGGGATCGTTTGGTGAAAATTATAACCGATTACAGAACAGAAACGTCTCTTAGAAATGGTTGCAATGACATTCTGAAGGTATGAATTACTTTATGTCCTGACCTCTGTCAGCAGCTATTTTGGGACATCAATTGACCACACGTTACATTTTGATTTTCTTTCTACCTGGGAAACTTGCAACAGGCTGATTGTGTAAACCTGTTGGTTAAATACTACAAGGAAGCGAAGAAGGCGATTTGCTTGAGCGGTGAAGAAGAAGATTCGAGGACCAAAAGGGACACCAGTCGTCGGGAATCCCAGGACAGAATGCCAAGCGTGAAACCTATGGAGGTTGTTAAGTCGAAGACAAGGGGAGATGCCAGATGTTGCATGTGTTTCGACCCTTTTTCCATACAAAATGTTTCGGTCATCGCATTCTTTTGCTGCCATGCTTACCACCAAGCTTGTCTTATGGATTCCATGAACTCCATAGTCAAGAAGGGAAGTGATGATGAGGATGAGGAGGATCAGTCCAATAAGGGTCCTCGATTAAGATGTATTTTATGTACTACGGCTGCTAGTTGAGATCGAATCGGTCTTAGCAATCATAGAAGATCTGCTGAGATGGTTTCCCGTTTGATTTATGCGTTTTTAGTTCACATTCTGTGTTCACTTTCAGGGGGAGAGTGAGAGCGGGGCATCGAGGGGTTCTCTGGCTATGTCTCCATATTCTTCTAACTTAGCATATATATTCTTAGTGCTCGTCATGAGATGCCTATTCATTCACATGGGACTTCTTCGGCTGTTGTCATTTGTTGTTTGTACCATTTGCTATGATGTTGCTGGAAAAGCGTGTTTTTCCTTCACTGGGGACTTTTTGTAGAACAAATCAAGTTGGATACTGGTTTTATCTTCATTCCTTGGTTATTGGTATACATAGGAAATCAACATCTCCAAGTTTGTCATATGCTGTTCTGCAATTTTCTTAAAATGTAGTCTCACTCTCAGCATTGCAGTAACGTTAAGATGTCAACCCTCACCTATCATCCATTGGCCACGACATCAGAGATGGGCATGAGGCATGAAACCAGAATTGCTACTAGTTCGAGTAGATTGCAGATCAGGTTGAGCTTCGGAACAACATTCTTACAACTTACAAACGAAGCTGAGTACCTCATTGACTACATCACGAGGAATTGAGATAGAGAATTTCACTGTACGAATTAAAATAACAGCAGAACCTGTTATCGTAGCTTCCAGCACACAAGGAGCATAAGAAAATAAGCGTCATTTGAAAAGGATGGTTAAGAAAGATGCACTTTAGACAACAGATAAGACCCCCACATCAAGGGGTTTAGAACTTCTCCACACGGATCCCATCTCTAAGGACCTCATATGCATCCCGGCTCCTGGATTTCTTCATCCCAGCTGTGAAGTGGACCTTTGAACCCTCAGATGTAATACAAGTCACTTTAACCCAAATCATCACCTTCGTCTTCATTCCTTCAACATCTGACAGCTTCCCTTTCTCAAGATACCCAGTTACCGTGACATTGAAGCGCAAGACAGACGAGTCCTTGTAACCGACATCACAGATCTGAGGAATAAACACAGTCAGCTTGTGCGTCTGTTCATCGAACTCATAGTTGGTAGCGTCACGTGGAAAGATCCCCACTGGCAAGTCATACTCCTTCAGCAGCTCCGGCAATGGCTTCTGCATTTTCCCTGTGCTCAATATGGATACAAACAAAAGGTTTAAAACAAGCAAAGACCATCAATATATTCAATTCCAGTGCTAATGCTAAGATGTCCAGCTTACACGATCAAAACTCAGATTGATTATAGCACAATACAGTACCAAAACGGAGACCAGCATGTGGTCTGAACCTAGAATTGGAGCAAAAGAGACAAGGGAATGCAAGCAAAGGGATAAACGGACCTTTGATTTTGTTGACTACCCATTTGGCCCCTCCTCCGATACTGTCTGACAACGACTGATCGCGAACATGGATTGTCATATGGAACAAGATGGCTAGTTAGATAGTATAGACTGAACCAACAAATCCCGTGAATGCACAAGGAAACTCAAGGCTAGCTTGGATGTTAGATAACAATGACTATACTTCTCACAGTCTACACATGCGATCCAAACCTACCCATGTTCTGATAATAGATATAGAATTCAAACCTTACAAAGTAAACATGGGATCCAAAGCTAACCAATTTTCTGATAATCATTTTCTTAAGTGATTCTTCTCTTTCAATAAACACCATGCATTTATGCTGAACAGCATCAAAATTTAAGCCTTTCACGAGTTCATAACATTGCGAATGCAATAAATATATAACCCAATCATGGAAACGACAATCCCTCAACATAGATTTCCATTGATCCTCTCCCATAATGCGAAACTAACGACTGAACAGCAAATTTCGTGATTAAATAACCCACTGATCCAAATCTTGCTATTAGTCAACAAATCAAGAGCTGGGGAAAACCGAATTAGGTAATTTACGGCCAGATCGAGCACCAAACCATGACAATTTTCCAATTAAAAACGCAGACAATTGAATGAAATTAAAAGGAAAGGCAGATGAGGAAACGTACGTTGATATCGTCGCCGACGGAATTGAGCTCCTTGTTGGCCTTCTGGTTGAACCAGTATGAGCCAACCTTATTGAATATCTGATCCATAGTACGTGTTCTTGCTCAGCCCTTCCTCTCGGCTTCGGCTGGCTCCAGATCGAGCCACAGAATAGAACTGATAATGCCCCAAAATCTTACGCCGATTCCTTTTGTTGTATTTTCTTCGATTGTCTTCCCCTCTCTATCTCTATCTCTCTCTCTCTCTAAACGACTCGCGGGAAAAGGGAGAGAGGGAAATTTCCTAGTGAAAGAAAGATAGACATGGATGAATTAGGGAAGATGAGAGTAAGCGGGCCGGGTCGGGCAAACGGGCCTGGGAAATGCTCTCCGCTCCGGGCGCTGTCGACCGTGCGCAACGCAATCTACCGCTTTTGCCTTTGTTTATGGTGAACCAATGGCTATTAGCCACGTCAGCTTCGTGGAGAAATCCGCGTTTCCTCGGTGACAACGATGGCTGAATATCCGGATACGGACAGAATGAGGAATAAACAGAAACGTCTCGAGATGACACATTGGGGGAGGCCGAGGCCAAGGCCAACTGAACGATTGTTCGGCCTTGTTTCCGTATTCCGTAGGGGGTGTTAGTCGCTCGGTTTAGGTTTAACCGAAAATCAATTTTTCGGTTATCGGTTAAACCGAGCCGTCCTCTACGTCTGTCGATCACCGACCAAGAGGGAAGCTATGGTTAGTCGAGCACCAACCAATCGGTTTTCGATTTTGGTTGGATAATCCGCAATTAACCGAGTTTATTGAGAGAAAGAAAAAAAAAACCCAACCCCACCCACGTTCCTTATCTTCTTCTTCTTCTCTCCTCCCTTTTTCCCCAAGAATAATAAAAACAAAATCAGACTTCTCCTCTCCCCTCTCTGTCCTCCAAATCGCTTCTTCTTCCTCTCTCCTCTCTCTACCTCTATGAAGGGCGAGTAGCAGCAGCGGCGGCAATCGGCGGGAAGAGCAAGGCCGGAGATGGACGAATCGCTGTCTGAGGAGGAGGCGACGATGGTGGTGAAGTGGAAGAGCGGAGGTGACGAAGGCGTAGATGACGGAAGCTGAGGTGGGACGAGCGCAGCGGCGGAAGAGGACGAGCAACGGTCGACGATCTGGTCTCGGAAGAGGAGGGCATTCTGGAGAGGAGAGGCTCGGCGCGTGGTGAATCGAAGGAAAGGGAAGGTTTTTTATTTTGGGAATTAGGGGTTTTCTATAAGATTGGGAAAAGGAGGAGTCAGAATGGAAGGGTGTGAAGACTGCAGGATTTCTGGGTTTTTGGAGGGAGGAGGCGGAAGTCTAATGTTGTGTGGGGATTAGGGTTTTTGGGGGTGTGGCCTGGTTGGTTGGGGGAAAATTGGATTTTGGGATGGAGGTCGGTTAGCTCCGGTTAGTCGGGTAACCGCGGTTAACTGCCTCCGGTTACTCGGCTAACCGCAGTCAATGCCTCCCCCTCCGAACACCGACCGACTCTTATTTACCGTCGGTTTTGGTTAGCCGCTAACCGGCGATTTCGGTTGAACCGGCCGGTTAGCCGCTAACCGACAACTGAACTGCCACCCCTAGTATTCCGTGGTCTTCAGAGAGAAATGGGCTTGCGAAGTTGCGGCAGCTGGCCTAATAAATGCTTTGAGCTTCTTCCTTTATTTAGGCCCCGGACATTGGGCCGGAGGAAGGTGAGGTATGAAATTTGATAATGTAATGGGGTGTATAGCTTATTGTTGTATAGTTTTTTTTTGGGAAACACGTGATAAAAATAGTGAATTTTAGTAGGAAAGAGACATGAATGATGCAACTAATCAAAAATCATCCTTATGAACCAAAATCAAGTACCTGTTACCTTGTGAAACAATATTGTTTCTGGTAATATGATGAGGTGGAGTAAATTGTATAGAAACCGAATTCCAGAAAATCGAATAAAAAATCGCCTATCCCGCCGGTTTTCGGGAAATAAGCATCTCACAATCGTTACTAGCTTTTACTCGATAAAACTTTCATCTTGTCATCATTGTGCTTTCTGGTTTTTTGCCAAGCCATGATAAAATCTAAAGAAATCAAGAATGAACAACACGATTTGGGATAGAAACCACCGTTCCTGTATCCCTAGAAAATGGTGGTAAACACGGACTCACCTGCCAAACTGGTTTGGATTGAGATTTTTATCGGGTATCAGGGAACCATGTGATTATAAATTAGACTTGATCAAAACGGGCCAAAACTTGAAATTCAGACTGTTTGACCGACCCATGCCAAAGTCTAATTATTCTTTACTTTTAAACTTTCTATTTGAAAATAAAAAATAATGAAAGGAAAGAGATGACTGCAATTCGCCATTTTCACATCACTGATTCGGGAATAAAACTATCGAATTTCGAAAGGAAACTGAAAATGTTTATGATCGTTTTAATGTTAAAAATAACCAAATAGATCTTTCTGTTTAGTTTTTTACTAACAAATACCAAACGATTCCCTATAATATACACTATAATTTAATCATTATGATATCAAATAATTACATAATATATATTTGAAATTATAAAAATTGGACTAATTGGGTTGGTCGAGGTTGAACCATTGTATAATAAAGAATGCGGAAAAGGTTTAGCTAGTAATTAGTGCTTACCTTAAAATGAAATACAATATTTGTATTTGAACAGAAGATGAGATCACAGAATCATTCATTGTGGCCGATTGGCAATCTCCCATTTTTTCTTCATTGTATTTTGAGGGACCACCAAAGTTACTCAAGTTTCAAACAATGTATTTTTCAAATTCATATATTGAAACATACTTCTCATTAGAATACACAAATTAATTAATTACAAGCTTAATGTAGCACCCGGTATGACCATACATTAACTATAATACCCTTATCAAATTGTTAACCATAAAAGAACATTAAAGACTTGGAAAAAGAGCAGAATTTTTTTCATAAATATCCATAATAAATTCATTAAAACTCATATTGCAATTTATTGAAACTCTCATTAATTGCTCGCATTGGTCGTCAATAAATGACTGCTTCATCGCCCGATTTGGCTCAGGCCTCAACTATTTGGAGTAGGGCCGGACAATCGGCTTCACTATGTCATTCTTGAAATAGTTGAGGGTGAATTGATTATCCCTCGTGTTGTTATTGATGAAAGTGTTAGTCGATGGAGGAATGCCCTAGTGGGTCAATTCCCCTCTGAGCCTCCCCATATCAAGGAGATTTGACAATGGGCTAATAGATTTTGGGAACACAATGGGCGTGTGTTTGTTTTTGTTTATGACAATCATATGTTCTCATTTCAGTTTGGTGATGATGCTACCATCTCATGGGTTTTTTTCAGAATGGTCGTGACATTGGGAAAACAATCCGCTGTTCTTCGAAAGTGGGTGCACGAGATACAACCAGTAAGGATGAGTATGAATTCTATTGCCATCTGGGTTTGCCTTTGTGGGTTTTCATTGTAGTATCTCATAGTGGAAGGAATGAGTAAGGTTGCTGGTTTGTTGAGAATGCCACTATGGATAGACCAAGCTACGTGTATGGGTGCCCAGATGGGTGTTGCGAAGCTTTGCATTGAGATGTTGGAAATTCCCCTTTTCCTACCGAGCTTCGATTCCGTCCTGAGGGAGGTCACGGGTTGGCTATCTTTGTGCACTATTTTCATACTCCTCTCAGATGTGAACAATGTGTTGAGTTTGGATATGAAATTGGAAATGGGTGGGAGTTTAGAGCACCTACTATTGAGGAGGTTGTAGTTGAGGGAGGGGATCGTGTTTAGACAATATGGGTTCAAAAGGAAGCATAAAATGAGAATGCTCTGGTTAATGTACTGGAAGTGCCTTCTAGTTCTGACACTAGTTCGATTCAGGAAGTTGATTCTAGCCTTGTGATTGCTGATACTAGTGGTGAAGTGGTTAACAAGTTAGCTACTTTTGTGTTTAACCTAGCATCTAATCATGGACGGGCTATTGGAGAACGTCGTCCTTTTGTTCATTTGGCTCCTGCTATGAACTCAAACTACTAATAATGGAAAAAAAAATTATAGATGTTGATGGGTTTCAGCTTGTACTTAGGAAAGGCATGGCTCCAGTAATAGGTGATAAAGTGAAGGTTCTAGTGGATTGAAAGTTCCCCCATTTGCTGTTCAAACTCGAGTGCATTTGAATGTGAAATGGTATGCAATGGTGGCTCTCCTCTCACCAAGGAAAGTGACGGGTGGTGTTGCTAATACAGTCTATGGTCCTAATACAACACATGAGAGACATGTGCTTTATGATAAATTAAGGAAGTTGAATGGTACTGGGGAACCATGCATCTTCCTGGAGGATTTCAATGCAATAGTAAGCCCAAATGAGACTCTTGACTCCCCCATCTCAATAAAGTATTGAGTGATTTCAAAAGTTGGATCGCTTATATGAGGTTAATGCATTATAGGGTGATTGAAACTTGGTTTACATGGTGGAACAATCAAGCTTCCAATCCTATTGCTAGGGGAATTGATCGCGTGTTAGTGATAATTTTCCTAGTTGTTCATTTCACATTTTGAAGCTAGGGGTTTTAGACCATTATCGTTTGTATGTGAAGCCTACTCCTCAGATTGGGTCTTTACACAAGACTTTCAAGTATTTCATATTGTGGATGAAATACACATAGTATAATGATATTTTAAATGAAAATTTGAAGATTTCAGCTACTGGTCAAGCCACTTAGATTTACTACAAGATGCAGAGCATTGAAAGAGAAACTAAAGGATCTGAACACGACAAGTTATTATGATATATCATTAAAGACCCGTGAGGCTGGGAGTAAGTTAAGAGGTGTTGCAGTCTTGAAGATATTGGTTTTAAGAGATCCATCTATCATTCATGTGCAACAAGAGTTGGACCAATATGAATTTTGCAGAGAGGCTGCGGAAAACTTCTATAATAGGAAATCTTGAGTTTAAGTGGATTAAGGAAGGAGATGCTAATACATCATTTTTCCATAAAGTGGTGAAGTCTAGAGCTCATAGGCAGCTAATTCATAAACTTGTTACTGATTCAAACGAGGAGGTCACAAAGTTGAAGCAAATGGGAAGGGTGGCAATTGATTTCTATTAATCATTTCTTGGGAAGAGAGATGAGAATGTCCAATACTATCCTTTAGCTTTTTTTGATGGGTTATTGGCAAATAAATTGGATATGAGTGATCATGTTGATTTGCTTGCCCATGTTACTAGAGATGAAGTGAGGAATGTATTCAAGAATATGGATAGAGGAAAGGAACCAGGCCCTGATGGGTTTCCTATAGAATTTTATATCAGTTATTGGCAAGGATGTAGAGGATGGTGTGCTAAAGTTCTTTGAGCAGGCTAGTAAATTCTAGTATATTAAATCTTATCCCTAAACTGCTAGTAGTTGATAAAATGAAGGATTTTCGGCTCATCTCGTGTTGCAATATTATTTTCAAATGGATATAAAAATTTCTAGTGGCTAAAGTTTTTCCTAAGCTGATAGGCAGGTCTTAATATGCCTTTGTGAAGGTTCGTTTAATTAGTGGCAACATACTCATGACAACTGAATTGGTGAAAGATATCATACTAAGTATGTGGAAGCTCTAACAATACCACACTACAATTCTTCTTCCTTTCTATGATTGAGGAAGGTATGAGTGCTACTTGTGTTAATGAGGATTAACAATCTAGTAGTAAGCACCCTACCTTTCATAACCAAGGAGTTTGCTGAGCTGCCACTCCTAAATGTCTGCATTAAGACTTATTCAGATTCTTCTGGTTTCATTTCCTTGATATAATCTTCACTCTCTTCATCTCCCTATATTACATTGATATGCTTCTCACCCGACTCTCACACGTGCCCATAGAAGTATCTTGATCTCCCCACATTTGTTACATGATCCTTTAGCGGGGGTAGAAGTAGAGGAACTTCCTTGGGTTCTTCTGGTTTCATTTCCTCCATATCCTCTTTACTCTCTTCATCGCCCACTATTGCATTGATATGCTTCTTACCCTGCTCACACATGTGCCCATAGAAGTATCTCTCCCCACATTTGTAACATGATCCATCAGCGGGGGTAGAGGTAGAGGAACTAGCCTTCCCACTAGCAGGAGGAGGAGGAGTCTTAAAAGGGCAGGACTGAGGCCCATAAGACTGTCGTGTTGGAGCAAGGCTGGGAAAGTACGAGACAAGCTACGCC